CCATACTTTGGATATTTCCAATAGTGCTGCTATAAACATTGGGGTACATGTGTCCCTTCAAATCATCACTCCTGTATCCTTTGGATAAATACCTAGTAGTACAATTGCTGGGTCATGGGTAGTTCTATTTCCAATTTTTTGAGGAACCTCCATACTATTTCCCAGAGTGTCTCCACCAGTATGCAGTCACACCAATAGTGCAAAACCATTCCTCTTTCTCCGCATCCTCGCCAAAATCTGTTGTTGCCTGAGTTGTTAATTTTAGACACTCAGGTGTGAGGTGGTGTCTCATTGTGGCTTTGATTTGTATTTCCCTGGTGATAAGTGATGTTGAGCATATTTTCATGTGTCTGTCATCTGGATGTCTTCTTTGGAAAAGTGTGTATTTGTGTCTTTTGCCCATTTCTTCACTAGAGTATTTGTTTTTTGGGAGTTGAGTTTGATAAGTTGTGTATAGATTTTGGACACTAACCCTTTATCTAATATGTCATTTGCAAATATCTTCTCCCATTCTGTCGGTTGCCTTTTAGTTTTGCTGATTGTTTCCTTCACTGTGCAGAACCTTTTTCTCTTGAGGTCCCAATAGTTCATTTTTGCTTGTGCTTCCTTTGCCTCTGGAGACATATCAGGTGTTATGCTGCTGTGCCAAGGTCAAAGAGGTTGTTGCCTGGTTTCCCCTCTAGGATTTTGATGGCTTCCTGTCTTATGTTTAGGTATTTCATCCATTTTGAGTTCATTTTTTTGTGTATGGTGTAAGAAAGTGGTTCTGGTTCGTTCTTCTGCATGTTGCTGTCCAGTTGTCCTAACACCACTTGCTGAAGAAACTGCCTTTTTCCCATTGGATATTCTTTCCTACTTTGTCCAAGATCAGTTGGCCACACATTTGTGGTTCCATTTCTGCATTCTCTATTCTGTTCCATTGATTTCTATGTCTGTTTTTGTTCCAATATCATACTGTCTTGATGATTACAGCTTTGTAATACAGCTTGAAGTCAGGAAATGTGATGCCTCCAGGTTTGGTTTCTTTTTCAACATTACTTTGACTATTAGGGGTCTTTTGTGATTCCATACATTTTTAGAATTGTTTGTTCTAGGTCTGTGAAGAATGCTGGCATTATTTTGATAGAGAATTCATTGAATATGTAGATTGCTTTGGGTTGTATCAACATTTCAACAATATTTGTTTTTCAATCCATGAGCATGGAATGTTCTTCCATTTCTTTGTGTTTTCCTCAATTTTTTTTCATCAGCTTTCTATAGTTTTCAGTGTATAGATCTTGCACCTCTTTGGTTAGGCTTTTTCCTAGGTATTTTATGGGTTTTGGTGCAATTGTAAATAGGATTGATTCCTTGATTTCCCTTTCTGCAGCTTCATTATTGGTGTATAGAAATGCAAATGATTTAGGAGCACCTGGGTGGCTCAGTCTGTTAAGCATCTGACTTCAACTCAGGTCATGATCTCATGGATTGTGAGGCTAGGACTTCTAATACTATGTTGAATAACAGTGGTGAGAGTCCACATCCTTGTCATGTTCCTGACCTTAGGGGGAACATATATGTCTTTCTTATATGGCCATTATGATGGTGAGGTACTTTCTTTCTATCCCTATTTTCTTGATGATTTATCAAGAAAGGATGCTGCATTTTGTCAACTACTTTTCCTGCATCTATTGAGAAGCTCATGTGGTTCTTATCCTTTCTTTTATTAATGTTATGTATCATATTGATTGATTTGCAGATATTGAACCAGCCCTGCATCCCAGGAATAATCCCACTTGATCATGGTGAATAACTCTTTTAAGGTATTGTTGGATTCAGTTTACAAGTATCTTGTTGAGAATTTTTGCATTCATGTTCATCAGGAAATTGGTCTGTACTTCTTCTTTTTAGTGGGGTCTTTGTCTGGTTTTGGTATCAAGGTAATGGTGGCCTTTTAGAATGAGTTTGGAATTTTTCTTCCCACTTCTATTTTTTGGCACAGCTTCAAAAGAATAGGTGTTAACTCTTCTTTAAATGTTTGATAGAATTCCCCTGGAAAGCCATCTGGCCTTGAACTCTATCTACTCTTGTTTGTTGGGAGATTTTTGATTACTCATTCAATTTCTTTACTGTTTATGGATCTGTTCAAAATTTCTATTCCAGTTTCAGTTTTTGTAGTTTGTGGAATTTAATCCTTTCTTCCAGATTGCTCAATTTGTTGCCATACAATTGCTCATAATATTCTCTCATTATTGTTTGTATTTCCACAGTTTGGTTGTGATATCTTCTCCTTCCTTCATGATTTTATTTATTCAGGTCATTTCCTTTTTCTTTTTGATCAATCTGGCTATGGGTTTATGTATTTTGTTAATTCATTCCAAGAACAAGATCCTGGTTTCATTGATATGTTCTATTGTTGTTGGTGTTTTCTTTTTTTTTCCCCAATAACATTGATTTCTGCTCTAATCTTTATGATTTGCCTTCTACAGCTGTTTTGGGGACTTATTTGCCATTATTTTTCCAGCTCTTTTAGGTGTAAATTTAAGTTGTGTATTTGAGACCTTTCTTCCTTCTTTAGGAAAGCCTGGATTGCTATATAATTCTCTCTTATGACCACCTTTGCTGCATCCTGGAGATTTTGGACTGTCGTGTTTTCCTTTTCATTGGCTTTAATGTAATTTTAATTTTTAATTTTCTCTTTATTTCCTTGGTTAACCCATTCATCTTTTTTCAACCCCATCTAATGTTCTTTTACATTTTTAAAAATTTGTATTTATTTTTAAGAGTGAGTGAGCACATGTTGGGGGGGGGGGTAGAGAGAGGGAGACACAGAATCCAAAGGAGCTTCCAGACTCTCAGATGTCAGCACAGAGCCTGACATGAGGCTCAAACTCACAGACTGTGAGACCATGACCTAAGCCAAAGTCAGAAGCCTAACTGACTAAGCCACCCAGGTGTCCCAATCTCATGTAAGATTATTATTAAATTCTAAATTCTAGTTCAGACATCTTATTCATATCTGTGTTGATTAAGTCCATGGCTGTCATTTCTTCCTGTTTTTTTTTTTTTTTTTCTTTTGAGGTGAATTTCTGTTTTGTCATTTTGGAGAAGGAAAAAAATTGGTAAAATTAAAAAATTAAAAACAAAACAAAAAAATCAAATAAAGGAAGCTAGATCCTAGGTGTGTTTCAGTTTGTTTGTTGAAGTAAGCTTGATAGAATAGAGAAAAAAAGGAGAGGAATGAAAAAATAAGGTAAGAAAAAATTTAAATTAAAACAATTTATATAACAAAATAGAATAAAATTAAACAAAGAATAAAATAGAATAAGAATTTTAACAATAATAAAAAGTAAAGTAGAAAATAATAGAATTAAATTTTTCTCTTTCTGTATCCAAGAAAGAGAAAGGAAAGAAAGAATAAAGAAAATGTAAGCAAAAACAGAAGCAAACAAAACAAATAAATGAACCAGCAAACAGAATGAAACACGAATGAAGTTACATCCAGTTTCCATGTAGAACTGAAACTGTGAAACACTCTAGAGTCCCTACACTAAGCAGGTGGAGTGACTTTTGCTGGCTGGTCTCCAGGGGGATGTGCTTGGAGGGTACAGTTGGGCATGGCTTGGTGTAATAGCTCCATTGTCCACTAGGTGGTGTTGCTTAGCTTACTGGGGAGTTTTAGTGTGGTGCACATGTGCCCTGTGCTTATGCATGTGCAAGAGATGTGGAAATGGCTTCATCCAGCTTCCTAGTCTCTGGGGTAGGAACTTTGTGCTTTCAACAGTCCACAATCAAGCACCCCTCCTTGTCTCAGGCCTCCTTCAACTCCCTGCCTCTACCTTGTCTGTGTCCAAGTCATCTGCCAGCCAGGTGGCAACTTCTTCCAGAGTTTTATCTCAGATATGGGTATGTTTCAAAACCTCACACTTCAGAGGTACACTGAAGCTTGTACCTGCACAGACTCTCTGCGGGGAGGATCTCACTGAGCAATGGCCGGGGTGTTGGCTTGCCACGGAAAACATTCATGCAATTGCACAGTGGCAGAAGTTCAGAGATTATGGCAAATCAGAATACACAGCTGGCACCAGGTTTCCCTGCACTCTTGGTGTCTTTGTCCTAATACCAACAAACTTGTGCTTTCCGTGGTCTGCTGGGACCTTTGCTGGTGGGGAGGCTGTTTGGCCTCTATCAAATGCGCTTCAAATACGTGAACCAATTCTCCCTGTGTGGCACACAGACCCCTCAGACCCTGCCGTTCCTGAAGATTCACCCTGCTTCCTTGCCAGAGCACCACGAGGCACTGAGCTCTGGGAACTTCAGATTCTGTACCTCATTGTTTATAGAATCCTGGTGGTTTTGAAACCCTCTCCTTTCTCACCATCAATTGTTTTGGGGGAACTGATTTCTTGTTCCCTCCCCAGTGAGTGTTTTCACTCTTTCTTTTTCTCTCCAGCAACTTTCAGGGCGGATTGCTTTTCTTACTCAATCCCAATGCACCACACTCTCCCCTTTTCTCCTTCTCTGTCCTGTCTCTGCAAAAACAACACCTTACCCTCTGTGACTTTTCCCTCCTTCAGTTCACCTCCTCACACACATAACTGTCAAATTCTGTGACTCAAATTATGCAGATTATTGCATTAAACCTCAGATCGATTTACTAGATGTTCAAAATGGTTTGGTAGTGATATACCTATGTTTCACAGACCAGGCAACTCAGGGTCTCCATGCTGATCCACCATTTTAACTCTTCTTTCCAAAGAAGACTTTTTTTTTTAAAGATGTATCCACTTATCTCACTTAACCAGATTAGAAGATATATAGGCAAAAGTTACAGCTTCCATCACTTTACAGACAAATATTTTTAGCCCCTCACCCTATAATTCCAGGCAATGCACAAGCAAGTGTCCCAGTTAAATAGGTGGAACAAAACTATTTTCTTGGGAAAAAATGTGGTACCTCATTTTCTGTATGAGTAATAACACATGTTAGCCTCCCTAAACAGGTTTATCAAGCCAAGTGTGATGGAAAGAAATGAAAGCTCTAGAAACTTCATTCTGCTTGGATTCTCTGACCGGCCAAAGCTGGAGATGGTCTTGTTTTTCACTAACATGGTGTTTTACTTTCTGGCTGTCATGGGAAACTCGACTATCATCTTCCTGTCCATGGTGGACCCTCGGCTGCACAGGCCAATGTACTTCTTCCTCTGCAACCTGTCCCTCCTGGATCTCTGCTACACCTCTAGCAGCATTCCTCAGATGCTGGTCAACCTCTGGGGCCCACAAAAGACCATTACCTATATGGGCTGTGTCATACAACTCTTTGCATTCCTGTCTGTGGGTGGCATTGAATGCATTCTTCTTTCTGTCATGGCCTATGACCGCTTTGTGGCTGTTTGCAAGCCTCTTC